GAGATGGTTTTTCCCTTACGATTATCAGATAGTACAAGAAATACATAGACATGAACCTGAAGGCAGAGGTACGGCAGGATTGCTGGAGATTCAGAACCATCTTACACCGGAGGAGGCAAGAAGTTATGCCATGTCTCAACTCCCTCGAGAATTATCGAAGCACACTGGCTTTGCTTTCGACTCACCTGGCTACGAGTCATTTTTTGCCGCACAGCTTGGTATTTATGCCCCACAGAAAGCATGGGATGTTGCTAAGAGAGCCAGTGTGAAATTGAGGCCAAAGAATAGGGAAAAAAAGTGAGGTAGAATTTATCATTTTTGTACAAAAATTTTCATATCAATAGTAGACCCCAGAAAAATCCTTAGTATTAGCTTTGCTGTGCCATATTTTAGCATTTGATTTTGCAGCATATCATTTGGTTCCACTTTGTCCCATTAGTTGTCATTCTTCCTCCTGAGAGACTAGTGGTTATCAGGAATGAAATGGGTATATATTGATATGTTGATGTAGTTTTAATGCCAAATGAAATTGTAATTTTTTAACTGGTCGGATTGTAGCTATCCATAGGAAGAACCTGTCACCATGAACCTTTCTCATGCGCTAGATAGTACACATATTGTAATTCTCAATTTCAATGGATTATATCCTCTTCACCTCCATCATAATCCTCCTCATCACCTTCACAAGTCTACCAAAAGTTCTAATCCCCAGATTGATTATAGACCAAAAACTCATGAACTTGTAAGTTATAGCGATAAGGTTTCTGTTAATCTTTTTTTTGTTTGATAGATTTCTGTTAATCTACGTTTCTCAAGGTTTATTTAAAATCCAGCTGATTCAGTTTTTTTTTTTTTTTTTTTCCTTCCTTTCCCAACATATCCATAGACAAATTTTAAGAACTCATATAATGTAATTTTGAAATTTTAAGAACATTAATTATAAAAGTTTTGGTTAAATTATAAGAAAATAGGCTTGGAGCTGTGGCGGTGGGGCTGTTTCTAGGGATTTTAACCGTCGGCTCGCCACCACCGGGGAAAACAACAAGCTGGCCCTGGCCAGCAGCTGGGTCTGAGGTTGAGGGAAGAAGCCCTGTCATGAAGCAGCTGAGTTTGTAGCTTTTTTTTTTTTTTTTTTAATTAAAAAAGAAATTAGTGGCTTGGAGATGAGCAAATGGGCTTGGGCTATGTTGGTTCGAATTCAACTTGGCCCAAACATTAAAACAACCAAACAAGGTCGAATCGATTAAGCTTTTGTTTTCATAATTTATTTTTATTATTATTATTTTTAAAAAAGAAAATACTTTTACAGAATATAAAAAAGAAAGTCATTGACAAAGACTGAATTAGTGGAAAATATATTTTATAACTCAATCTCTTTAGGATTAATGAATAAAAGAATTTCCCCATTTATTTGACTTAATCCAAACCTCAAAAAATGGAATTATTTTTAGTAATTTAGGCTGCTTCTTTTGACTTCATTAATTTAATTGTTATTTAAAAATAATAAAAAAAGTGTTCGCCAGCTATTACCTAAACCTATTATCTTCATTCAAAAAAGAATTATGGTAAACCAAATGTATTAAATGGAGAAATATAGAGCAGTAATTAACATATAATAATCATTATATGTTATTTTTAATCTCAACGGCAATTAACGTCTATAATGATTTGAGACTTTATACTAAAAAATAATATAATCTAAATATAATCTGTGAAGGAAAAAAGAGGAAGTTATATTTGGGAGACATGAAATGAAATGGCATTTCATTTGAATTTGCATTTGCATTTTGATTCATTTCGGACCAATCAATCCGCTTCCCCTCAATTCCCTCGTCATCCTCTTATTCACATAAATACAATTTTAGTAACTTTTTTCCAAATTTTGCCGAAGAACGGAGAGAGGGGGGGAGGGGGAGAGAGCCAGAATGATTCACGGATCGAGAATCTATCTATGTTTCTTTGTTACATGTCATGGCGATTGAAAAAGTTCGAATTTCGGGGATTAATTTTGATGGTTCGGAGTCCATTTGATGCATAATGAGCTCAAATTCTATTGTTCTCTGAGAATGGAGAGATCGCTGCGTTGGTGACCGGGTTTCTTCGAGACGATCTTTAATATTTGCTTGTGGATCTGTGAGGATTTGAAATCATGCCGTCTCACGCGGATCTGGACCGTCAGATCGAGTATCTGATGGAGTGCAAGCCGTTGCCGGAAGCGGATGTGAAAATACTGTGCGATCAGGCGAGAGCGATTCTGGTAGAGGAGTGGAACGTGCAGCCGGTTAAGTGTCCGGTGACGGTGTGCGGTGATATTCATGGCCAATTTTACGATCTCATTGAACTGTTTCGGATAGGAGGCCGTACTCCTGATACTAATTACCTTTTCATGGGTGATTATGTGGGTGAGTTCTTACCTATTTTTTCTCCTTGTTTTCGTTTCTATGATGCCCTCACACACACACACATGTATATATTGGAGGTATTGAAAAATTTATTTGATTCCTTCATCTAAAGCTAGTGTCCACTTTCTGTTTCTTTTGTTGTGTTTGAAAATTTTCATCTTCAAAAAGAGATTCATTCGAGTTGTTCCCAACACGAAAAGCCGCATCCATCAAGGGGCTGGTATTTCGTAGGGACATGGCTTCTGTACCCATACGTTAAATACAAATTTTCTGATTAATCCGACTGTGATTTCTAGTTGGCCTTAGCTTCCTCTTTGCATTTAAGGGCAATTTATCCATTAGATCATCTAGAATCACACACTGATGTGTGGGTTTTGGTAAAAGATTGTATAAGTTGAAAACTCAAAACATGACATTTCAGATGTGCTGGTAAGTTCTCAGATCAGACAACTTTTATCAGGTGGCTCATGTGGGCACGGATATGTCTAGTTTCTGGATAGCTCCTATCTGTGAGATTAAGGGATAAAAATGAACAAAGTTGACGGGTGATAATGCAGTATGGTTGGTACAAATTAATGCTTGATTCTGTCGTTGTATTGCGTTAAAGTTATAATTCATCAGATGGGTTTCTTTAAACTTATCTGTAAATTATAAACTGGGAGATGCTTTCAGGATTTACATCCTCTGGAAGCGATTGATGAAAGCAGCTACTTGTCATGATAGAAGCTTGCAGGATTGAAGGAATTTATAGTAGTTTGCTCATAAGCCTTACAGGAGGTGATAAGTAGTTTTCCTGTAGCTTTTAATAAAAAGAAAAGGGGAAGGAAATAGTTCTTCAAATGAGTTAGAAAGAGGCAGGGAAACGTGGGTCAATACCCTGATGCTGTCTTATGAAGGTAACTTAGTATCGTCTCTAGTTTTATAAAGAGGCAGCACAACGGGCATTGTGCCCTCCTGAAGTCATTTATTGATAAACTACCGTCTGTTAGTGGCTAGGAAGAGAGGGAAGGGAAGGAAATAAAATAAACCCGGTGCAGTTGGTGGCTTGGTTAATGGGTTGCTTGATTTCATAATTGAAAAAGCATGTAATCCTTTGCTATAAGCTATGGGAGTTCGGAGTCTATGGTACTAGCATTTTCTCACACTGTGAACTAATGCAGATCGCGGGTACTACTCTGTGGAGACGGTTACTCTTCTCGTGGCTCTGAAGGTTCGTTATAGAGACAGAATTACTATCTTGAGGGGTAATCACGAGAGCCGACAAATAACTCAAGTGTAAGATGCCATGACCTTTCAAACCATCTTTATTGCTCATCAAAAGTGTTTCTTTTGTATGTGTTTAGTCATACTCTAAAGGGTCCTTTCCCTAATGTTAGTGTGACTGATTTTTATTCATAGAACCATCTTTTCTCACTCAGGTATGGCTTTTATGATGAATGCTTGCGAAAATATGGAAATGCCAATGTCTGGAAACACTTCACCGATCTGTTCGATTACCTCCCTCTTACAGCTCTAGTTGAGAGTCAGGTTCAGTTGTACACGGAATGAACTGTGCGTGGTAACTTGATACCAGATAAGCTTCTATCTAAAATGCAACTGTTATTATGTGTAGGTTTTCTGTTTGCATGGAGGGCTTTCTCCATCCTTGGATACCTTGGATAACATTCGCTCATTGGACCGTATACAGGAGGTTTGTAGGCTTTTATTTGGTTGTTGATTGATCACTCAACTAATTATTGCTACAAAGATTTCCATTTCCGGGGTATTCAGTGTTTTGTATTACTCATTAGCTGTTTTTTCTGTATATGTCACGTCAGGTCCCCCATGAGGGGCCGATGTGTGATCTCTTATGGTCGGATCCAGACGACCGGTGTGGATGGGGAATATCTCCACGTGGGGCTGGGTATACATTTGGTCAGGATATAGCTACTCAGTTCAATCATACAAATGGGCTTACTCTTATATCCAGAGCTCATCAACTTGTCATGGAAGGATACAACTGGTGTCAGGTGAATTGTTTAGCTGATTGCAAATGGTGTCTACCCCCCCACTTGTTGTTTTCCTTCTATTGCATGTTCTTATGTTTTCAATCTCTCTCTCTTTTTTTTTTTTTCGCAGGATAAGAATGTGGTGACTGTCTTTAGCGCTCCAAATTATTGTTATCGATGTGGAAATATGGCCGCAATTCTGGAAATTGGGGAGAATATGGATCAAAACTTTCTACAATTTGACCCAGCTCCTCGGCAAATTGAGCCAGATGCCACTCGCAAGACTCCTGATTATTTTTTGTGATTACCATATGGTTGATCATTGTAAGTGTCGTGCTGTAGATTTTTTACTTTCAAAAGGCCTTATTGTCACGGGTGAGAACCAGATTATCTTCAATGTCATTCTTTTCATTGTAGTTTTAGTTTTGTTCTGTTGCTTCTTTGATGTTAAAAAAAAAACTCAGAGGTGGGAAATTGGCAGAAGGTATCGACCGATGGTCCCATTTTCTTGTAAATCTTAAAGAAGCGATAACTTGATATTATTGTGTTGTGTTATTCATATATATTCTTTGAAGTGAAAAGCTGATTTTGCTAAGACTTTATCGGTTGATTTCGTTTCGAAATAATGGAACAGGGAGAAAAGTATGTGCAACCATCCAGTTCCTAGGTGTTGATGTGCAACCATCTATAATTTCAATTTGTTGTATTCGTGGATAATACATTTATGTCACATGAACAATTGTAACAAAAGAAGACGACTAAACTAAACTAAAACCTGGAATTTGACTGCAGCCTGCCAGAAGCAAAACCAGCCGTTGAAACAGTTCGCTTCCTTCTGATGTATACAAATGAACCACTTACCAGCAGTAAACACAGCACAATGCCCTGTCCAGAACATTACAGCAAATGAAAGCACAACTAAAAAGTTGATTCTTTTAGAATTTGAAGGAAAGCAAGATAATAAGCGTACATGTTCATCATTATAATTAACAGCACTAACCAAAGATCCTAGTAGTTCTCCCTTTGGTTTAGATAAAAGTAGAAATAAGATAATAATTGTTGTACAAATCAAATAAATAAGGGTTCGGAAGTATCCAACAGCGCAATGGTCATTTATAACATGAACGCATCTACCTTTCTCTCCAACGAACCACTATTTCAATCTTTAAAAAAAATGCATTTATCTAAATATTGATTTAAAAAATAGACTACAAAGCGAAATAATTACTTTTCCATGTAGATTTACAAAATAAAAAAATGTTAAGGAAGGGGGAAACAGTTCCTATTATTTTGAGAACATGCCCCCAACAAGTTCTGTAGCTCTTAGCAAATAGCTAGAAGATTTACCAACAGATAATTGGCACCAAAAATGAACCCCTTCAGTAGTCTTACTAAATATGATTTTAGCTATCATCTTAACAATAAAACTGCTAAAGAAAACCCATAGATATTGATTAGCCATCAAAATTTGGTTCGGTAAAATATGAACATTTCTCGAAAATGCCTTAACCGTCTAACTCTCTTTAATATATTTGGTTAAACAACCTCTACTTAAAAAGTACAAACATCTTATGGCTGGAAAGATCACAGAAAAAAGCTACAGGCCACAATTACAAATGAATAAAAACAGTAAGCGCAATTTAGTCAATGAACACGTTTGATATCAATCACATAGAATGAAGCAACATAATAGAATTTGAGAAGATATCAGGCAGCATGCAGATGGAAAAGAGAGCATATAGAAAAATGACCACGAAACCATTAATTGCAATTAATTGAAGCGTTCCAAATAGGGTAGTTAGGGAAATGGCATACCTCAAAACCAAGTACAGACAACTTTTCTTCATTAACTGATGGAATACAGCTTCTATAAGTGGTGTACGCCTGAGCACCATCTGTTGCTGAGATAGAACCATCTCTTAAAGTTCTGTGTGCTATTGGTGAAGCATGACCAATTGCATCATTCAGCACAGGGATCACTAGCTTGTGCTCATAAGACATTTCAAGCACTGAGCGACCATCATGAGATTTTTGCTCAATGGAAACTTTTGAAGTGTCTTTGATCTCCACACATTTCAGGGGAATACGGTAGCCAGTCTCACTGCAGCGATATTTTTCATCATTCTATGAGATCAAAAAGAAAAAAGGATGAAAAATTACCTCTGCATAAAACGTCATATCAAAAAACAAAGCAAAAGCTACAAGTAAACACGAAACGTGGATTTAGAAACACGGAATATGCAAGGGACTATCATTCCCAATCCTAAGACATTAAGAACTCAAAACATATAACTTCATGATAAAAGAACGTGTGTTGGCATTATCCAGATATTAACTAGTAGAAAGTCCACATTGCTTGTCCCATATGGCTATGGCCTTAATCCATGGTCCAAGTTAAAATCCCTTCTCACCTACAACTAAGCAAAAAGATAAGGATGTGATAAGGATAGCGGACGCAAAGCTGTGGAATTTGGGTGTGATCCTTAGTTGAAATGGAATGATCTTCATTTTTTTTTTTTTTTTCCTTTCTGCTTTTTCGTCAGCTGGCGCGGGGCAACGAATCTATTACAAAGTAAATAAGGTACACCCAGCCTGATCATATTTTTAGAGAATGTACAAGCGTGCAATTTTGGTTTCAAAGACAGCGAACACGAGGGGCCTTAATGAAAACAGGAAGGCTGCAGCTTCATGATGAAAAATTCACATGAATTTGCAATATCTCGATTCGCTACATATCCTACACCACATAGCTCTCTCAAAGAAGAGATATTGAAAGCTTCACTCTTTTTTCACAACTACTAAATTATCGCTGCTATAAATGAAAGATGCGCTCGTAATGCCTTCTCCAATTAGCTCACTAGAAACTCACCAAACTACATAAATTGAAAGAAAATCACTGTTCTGACTCCAATAAGCTAGGTCACAATTTCCAGATAATTTATCCTAATAAAAAACGCAATCCAACTGAACGAGAAAAACAGCAGCAGAATTTAGGTTATCTCGAACAAACATTCTAATGAAATAGAAACCTTTTCAGAGTAGAGGCAGGCAATACAGGGGCCAGAACGAGAGCATTCAAAGGTAACGTTACTTCCCTGTGGAGTCTCTTTGAAACTCAACAGAGCTCTGCGCCCAAACCCGATCTCAATTTCTTCGTTCCCCCCAACTCTGTGTCAGATAATCAGAACAAATTCAACAGTTAGCCATGGAATTCCAATAGATCATATTAGATTAGATTAGATCAGATCAGTAAGAACTGGATCTAATAACACAATAACCAATAAGAATACATAATGAACCAAATTAAAGCTCACGTATTCTGCAATTGGGCGTCAAGTGAAGCAGAGAAGCTGAAAAGAAGGAGAAGAACAGGAAGCAACAAAGAATTCCAACACATTTTTTCTCCCGACGTTACCGCCTTCTCTCTTTTCGTCTCTCTCACCAAAATCAAATCTGCGAACTGAATTCACACACTAGAGCCCTTACAGTTTCTATATTCTCCCCCTTTCCCTTGTAGTTTCTTTAATTACATATTTGCCACGTTAATCTCATTTTCTTCCATTTTCAGAGGTGACTTTTTTAAATACGGAAAGTTTAGGGTACGTTAATAAACATTTGAAAGTCAGAGATACTACGAAAAATCAAGTTGGGTTTCATAATTTCGTGTTTTAATTAATTCATAAACAAACATTTTAGAGAATAAAATATTATTATGTTTATAGTTGTTTTTATAATTTCAATTTTTTTTTATTTTTAAATATATTGAAATTAGTTGTTTTCAAAATTTGTACTATTTCCATCCCAAAATCAAAAAATTAGATTTAAAAACAAATATGTCAAATAATGAAAATGATATTTGAACATTTAAATTTTAAATATTTCTCATTTATAACTCAATAATACAAATATAAAAAATTTCAAAATCTACCCTCAGCTTTTATTTATTTATATATATATATATATATATATATATATATATATCAATCCAACATTTCTTATATTATATATTTTAAAGAAATTTTTGTGAGATCCTACATCAATTATAGAGGAAAACGAAGCGTTCTTTATAAAAAAAAAAAAAATGTAAAAAAAATTCCCTCATAGAGGCATTTTAAAACTGTCTGGCTGACGGCAATACGTAACGGAACAAAACAGACAATATTTGCTAGCGGTGAGCTTGAACTGTTACAAATAGAATCAAAGTCATACACCGAGCAGTGTGTCAGTGAGAACATTGGGTTCTAAAAGGGTAGATTGTGAGATTCCACGTCGATTGGAGAGGGGAACGAGATATTTATTGCAAGGATGGGAAAACCTCAAAGTGGACAATATCCACTAACGATAGATTTGGACTATTAAAAATAGTATCATAGTCATACACCGAGCGGTGTGTCAGTGAAGAAGATAGCTCCTAGAGAGGTGAATTGTGAGATCTCACATCGGTTGGAAAGGAGAACGAGAGGCACTCCTTATAAGGATGTGGAAACCTCAAACAGACAATATCCTCCCGCGATGAGTCTGAATTTTTACAAATAGTATCAGATACATAAATATTCCTTACAAGAATGTGGAAACTTCAACAAACAAAATCAATAAGCGATGAGTTTGAACGGTTATAAATGGTATCATAATCATACATTAAGTGATATCGAGGACGCTGATCTTTAAAAGGGGTAGATTATTCGTGGAATCTATGAGGAATAAGAAAAAGAAAAAGGAAAAATGGATTAAATGACATCCATTAAAAATAATGGAAATTTTGTCCTTGAATATAAATGGCAGAAGTGGCTGAGATTCATCCATGGGCACATGGAAGCAAAACGACAAGTCGAGAAAGCAATAGCTTGATGCCCACACTCATATTCTTGTCGTCTACTAACTTAGTGAACCATATGCTCGAAATATTTCGAGTTATGCTGAAAACTAACGCATTAATTCATTTCTACAATAAACTTAAATTATATGAACATTAACACAACGATTCTAGAAACAAATCGAAATACAACCATTATTGAAATTTATATCGCTTTTTTTGGACCAATTAAATTTAAAATTTCACCTGTACAAAACGAAGCTGGAATCCTTTTTGTTACGCTGTCCAATTAAATCCGACCAGTAATTCTAGATCAGCTTCAAGCAACACTGACAATGTCGATACTGTCTCCGCCGCCGGACATTGTCTGGAAATTGCCTGACGACTGTGAAGCCGCTGTCGGAGACTGTGCCTCCGGGTGTGAAGTAGAGAGCTTCAAAGTCAGAGGCAAAGGGTCTTCCGGCGTTCTGTCGTTAATGTTTAATTGAGCGAATTTTGGGTATGGAGACAGAGGAAGCATTGGTATTGGACGAAGGATTTTGGAACTGATTGTGTTCTCGGCGTTGCTGTCATCGCCGGCGGCAGGAGGTGGTTTCACTGGATGAATTTTAAGTAGGAAATTTCCGGGTTTGCTGTCTTTTAGCAGCTGCGATGGTGGCAGCGGTGGCTGCAGAGCCTCGTGGCCGGAAAATACCAAATCGTCTTCCATGGATGAGCTCGTGAACTTCAATTCAAATTAAATGGAAATAATAATAATAATAAATCAAATAAACAAACAAACAGGATTCTGAAAAAGACAAGGGACTTACAGTGTCAGTGGTGATATCGAAAAGGCTGGATCTACGGCGTCTCCGATTGAAATTATTCCGGCGGAGGAAGTATTTCTGAGCATGACTAGCCACCTGAGTCGGCGTACGTGTCTTCACAAAATTCCTCGAAATCCCTCTCCAATCTCCTTTCCCAACCTTCTGTAATCCCAACAAGAACAGCCGATGTTCTTCCTCTGTCCACGGAATCCCTATGAAAAATCAAACCCACCATCCAAATTAGCTAAAAAAATCAAAATCAAAATTAAATAAGTAAAATAAAAACCTCTTTTTCGGCCGCGGCAACGGTCGGATGGGTGAACGACGTCGTCGGAAGCATATCCTGCATCGGCGTTGTTGGAGTCCTGACTTAGAGGCTGGTCGAACTGGGACAGATTATTCATACTAACACTCTTTCTAAACGAGCTACTTCCCTCCGTCGTGGTCAGCCTGACCCCGAACAACATGAATCCGCCGCCACCGCCACCGTCTCCCTCCGGACACGTGCGGGAGTTATGGCCATTGTTGCCACAAAGCGAACACGTGCGAGGGGCGTTCATGTCGAGTCTAAAGTAAAGGCTGCAGGAAGAAGGGTAGAAAACAATAAAAAGGGTCTGACAAGAGAAAGCACGGGAATCTGGAAGTGGAAGAAACGAAAAGGCGAAAAAGTGGATCGGAAAAGCTAAAAAGACAACTTCTTTGGGTTCATATACCAAGCCGAGTTAGCTACCATTCTTTCAAGGCCCTTTCTTTATTCCATTTCTCTATGGTGAGCAATACTACAGTGCACCGCAGGTGCATCCCGAATCATAGTCCATCACCATCCGCCCGTACATCTTTCCATGATGATTCACACAAAAAGGAACGGTGGAGAAGGAAGAAGAGCGGAGGGCCGTCGAATTACCATATTCTCTCTCTCTCTCTCTCTCTCTCAGGGGATGCTTGGACGACACAGATTCGATCCATTGAATTGAATTTAGGACAAGGGTGGACCCCACCCATTTCATTTATTTAGACACTAATTTCTTTTTAATTAACCTCCGCCTTTCTTTGTGGCTTATGGCTATGGTGGTGTTGTTGGTGGAATGCCTTTTCTTCTCGGTGGGTGGTTAATTTAACCTTAATTTCAACTTTAATGTCAAATAACCTAATTAAGGTTTGGTTTTAAGTCTATAGGTGTCTGTATATAGAGTTATAACCTCTTTTTCTTCCGATTTAATGTTTAGATACTGTTTTCAAGAGAATATTGAGATATTAGAAACAGAAAGCAGCTCTTAATGTGAGTGAAAAGTCACCAATAGTACTCAACATCGGTTTAGACACGAGACAGACAACCCACGAGACGGTGGTCGATCGTTTTAAGATATCTTCATTTAATAAGTTTTTTAATATTTAATTTGATGTATAATAGAGAATTGAGTTATTTGGATTAAAATATTTTTTAAAAAAGGCAAAATTTTGTGATTTGACAGAAGGATTGAATTGGTAAACTAGTAAATGCAGTGAGTCTTTGTTGTGGAAAGTATTCAATTTATAAATGGACGGTAAGGTGAGGTGGCGCTGCCACGTAAGTGAGGGCAAGTTGAAGGTTATACGTGGAAGATCTGTCGCCCTCTCATTGGATTGTTTGACTGAGTCATCTGCTGGGTGTTCTTTGTGCAAGTTGTGGATTTCGAGAAGTCTCTGTCGAGCACGTGCTGGATTTTGAGCTTTTACTTTACATCTTGGCTAGGTAATGGAGAAGACACGTCGTCTGGTCAACTTTATTGAATATTCTAATTCCATGTTGTGCTTACCGTCTACTCCGCCGCACCTTATTATTTTTGTCCTTGTTCGGTTCAATGCTGCAGCGATCCTTAACCGACGTGTCGGTAACTCCGCCACCCTTTTATACCGACACAGTTTCCGCAGTCGCAAATTGTTTACGATGTTGTCGTCTATAAGAAATTCTTAGTCAACGGGAAGCGCCCAACTTATAAGTTTGAAAGAACAGGAGAAGGGAATAAAATAAATAGAATTGTTCTTTCTCGTGAACTCAGAACTTAAGTAAGAAGTAATGAAAAGATAAATATAGAAGCTTTATTTCTTATTTTATAGAGATGGTTATGAGCTTACTAAATGACTTCATTCTTTAGGTATGGGGTCAGGTTCGTCTATATGAAATATAAAAGCTTACTAAATTTAGTGTCAATTGGATATCGGATGAATTGTTCATAACATTGTACATCCGTTTGCCCAAATCATGTTTACACCTGTGAATTTGAAAATGCCTCAAAATATATATAAGTGGAGACATGATGTCAGCTCTCCACCCCTGCAACTCTATAACACATTAAATGAGTTTTTAAAAGACAACATTAAGTCATTGATTAAACTAATCATTAGATTATTATTATTTTTTTTTTGTCGTCCCTTTCCTGTACACCCTTTTTCTTCTTCCGACATTATTCGCCACCGTCGTTGTCACAGCCGCCGTTGGCATAGCCACGCCGTCATAACCTTAGGCGGAAGCCTGACTATAGTCCGGCAAGGTACTGTTGAAGCTCGGGTGTGTATCAAATCAAAATCAGGCCCCATTGATTGGGTGGGCTTGCAAAACCACGAACAGTTTTGTCACGACCCAATATTTTACTACAGACTGTGACTAACGACAACACATGAATGTATAAAATAATTTAGATGTGCAATGGAGAACATTTTATTTACTTCCAATAACGTTTCGAACGATAAACAAAAACAATTAACAGTTTGAAAACAAATTGTGAAATAATGCAAATACATAATAAAGATTGGACTGACGCCCCGGAAAAACTCATTCCTCTGTGACAATCCCCGTCTCTATCGCGCCCGCCCTTGATCGACGCCTTGCACCCCTGAAAAAGGAAAACATAACAAGGATGAGTATAAAAGTTATACTCAGCAAGCCACCTACGTGTAGACTCTCTTCATATCCTAACTTATCACGGTCTTCTAATTCGGTTCTAGGACATCTGGATCTAATCTTAGTCCCATGGGGCTTGCCCCTTGGACTTTAGCAGTTCATCATCCTTTCATTAGATATCTAAAGGTTCCTTACGCCGAGTAGATATGACCGGTATATCTCTATGAGGCGCTACCTCTGCATGACTATCTAAGACTACATAGTATCTAGTCTAGAGGTGTGCTGAGTACCTCCTAAGCTCATATAATTATTTTATGGGGGGTGAGACCCAACTCGTTCCCATGCAATTAATGGGTTGTACGACGAGAGCATGGTTCTTCTTCAAGGTTCAATGTTTTGCTCTTCTTCAGATTTGCATGAACACGAAGGCCATTAACAAGTTCATTGATACGAGACATTTTTGGAAGACAAAAAACATCGTCACGAAAGCTAATACTCAATACTCAAAGTGGACAATATCAATATTGCGGAGGGTCATAATTTCTAACATAGCACCAGAGTTATGCTTTTAACTTAATAATGTCAATAGAAAGAAGTTGTGAATTGTAAAAGTGTAGCCAAAAGTGACTTGAGTGTTCGAACAAACGATGCAGTTTGTTCAAGAGCTTTAGAGAAAAAGTTGAGCATCAATTAAGGGGAGGGTGTTCGAGGACTCTTATAGGCCTCAGGGGAGGCTCTATGATGTACTTTTGTTCGAGGAAATGTTGTTCAAGGGCTCTGTAGGCCTCAAGGGAAGCCTTATGATGTACTTTTGTTCGTGATTCCTCACCGCGAAGACAGACCTCATCATAGGGTGAGATAGGCACGTCAGGGCGACAATGACAACTAAGGATGGAAATATTAGAAAAAGTTTAATCAAGAATATATATACCTTTCATTATTGGAACTTAAATCATCTAAATTAATTTCATAAAATAAACACAAATACTTCTATTTAAACAAACATTAATATTATTTATTTTCATAAAAATCTTATAACATTTTCCTACTCAATAAATACAAATATTATTATTATTTTCGTAGTGCTCGGGGCAGCGGATCGTTCCCCCCAGGTTGGAGTCCAAATCCCGGCAAATTATCCTTACGGACTTTATTTTTGAAGTATCAATTTACTCGGTTCCGATGGAAGCGGGAATTTTCTTCCCCGTCACTCCAATTCTATGGAGTTCTAGTTTGAAGTGCACTCTCTGTCCCGTTCGTCGCTCTTTCCCGCGTATCATAAGGGCTTCTTCCTTGAATTCGCAAGCAAGTTACAGAGGGCCGAAGCCTTCAAGGGATTGGGTAGCCGAATGGGTATCCAAGAACAACGATGCCGTTCGGAGTTTGCCCATTTACGTCGGTGGAATTTCTCTATTGGTCGTCCTCTTTAACCGCGCCGTTTCAGGCATTGCTCCCGTCGCCGATGCCAGCAGGTTCGTTAAGTTCAATTAATCTATCGAATGCTGATTATTTTCACCAGTCAATTTGTATTGCTTACTCGGATGGAAATTCCATCTTCGATAACTTCGTCAACAATGGCGTTTTCCTATTTTAGCGGCATGATTCTGCAACTATACTTCACGTAATTAGTTGCTCTATTTATAGTAATAAACTATTATCAATTTCGGCAGTTCACAGTCAAGAGCTGATCTATTAACCCTTGGACTAGCCGTCACAAATGTCTTGACTGGGCTGGTGTGGCTGTCGATCAGGCCGAAATCTATAACACCGGTATGGGTTAACGATAAGATTTCCATGCTCAACCTTTCCTCTCTATCAGGAGATTCCTGTTCTATTCTTATTCCCCCCCCCCCCCCCCCCCCCCCCCCC